ACTGCATATGTTACATGTACTTAAACAAATCTATCTTGTATTTATTCATTTTTTTAATGGGATAAAACCTAATGTTATCTTCATCAACCGAGTTTTGCAATATTTTATATATATCAAAAATATATATAAAGCGCATCTTAAAGTGTGTGTGGTTGTCTACTTTCTCCCTCAATGTTGACAAAAAAGTGTTGCAAAGTGAATAACATTGCTTTTAGGTTCAAAAATTATTTATTGGTGTGTTTTTCTAAGGCAACTGTATCAAGTAGTGCAGCTGCCTCCATATGACATGGTTTTTTCGTGTTTCTTTGCAAAAAAACACTGTGTGCAATCTAATATTACACGGCACAATGCTACAATATTTCAAAAACTTCTCGATGTAAACCCAGGGGAGTCTAGCATTTTATTTGAGGCAAATATTCTTAAGCTTTAGTCCTATAGACATCGGATGAATTGATGAAATCGTTCATACACAGTATGCATGTAGAAGGAAATAGCAGGAAATCGAATACTTAAACACTCGCTTATCAAGGGCAGGTGCGAAGGGTTGTAAAGATGTCAGTTATATACAGATGGTTTGAAAATAGGTCACTTTATTAAAAAAAGATCTGAAAACAGTTGAATAATGTTTAAAATGAAATTCTTGACAAAAGTTGAGATTTTAAATTTAACAACATTACAGTTTCTATTTTTTTTTTGGGGGGGGGGGGGGGTCTGGATATTGTAAACAAAAGTGTATATATTTTAATTTATTATTCTTTAAGAAAATAAGTGTTTATCATTTTGAAAATATAATTATACTTGTCAACAGTTTCTAATGAAGATATATTGTACATGTCTATGTTAACCATATAATTATGTCATTTTGGTTATACTATCATGCTGTTTTATCTTTATTTTGTATTTTTCTAATTAAAATGAAATGTTTAAACAACTTTTTATTAACTTGTACATCTTTCTCGTGTACTTAAATTTTAAATAAAGATGGACTGCCAGCATGTGTTTTTTTAAATTTCAGAATGTATCATATCCAAATAATCAACAGAGTAATCTGTGTAGAATTTAAACACGTTAAAAGTGATAATAAAATTACCTAATTAAGGTTGTATTAACATGCTGTTGCATATAAGAACGTATTCTTTATGTTTTCGAAAACTACACTTGAATTTTTGAAATAATATAATTATTATATTTAAAGTTCGATTACCCAGGTTATAAGGTGAAAGAGGAAACTATTAGCTTATTCCTGGTGGAACTTTTTTCAGCAAACATGAAACGAAAATAAGATTAAATTCTTCAAGATTTTTTTCCATGCTTGTTAAACAGATCAGCTAAAAACTGGAAGAGCAGTATACGCACATAACGGTATAAAGATTTCAATAAGAATTTACATGTATCATGCTAGTTTTTTTTAATAAAAGAAAAATAAGAAGGTACAGTTTCATTACAAATCTGTTCCTATATATTTATAAAATAAGGAAATGATGTAAGTAAAAGTCATCTTTATGAATCCTTGGCATTCCAAAGAGTACATGTACGAACATACAACTCGTTTAATTTTTTTCATATGACCTCCTAAATGCTAATTGTGACGTCATGAACTAGCGCATTTACCTGTATTTTCTTTTAAAAGAAGATGTAAAAGGAAACAATTTTCAGTGCAATTTTCTTTCAGATAATAAAGAGCACAGGCATCGCCCACAAAGATTTTTTTTAAATATGATTTTTCAAAGGATTTTACCAACATATCTGAAAATTAAAGTGGGCGACGGATGTGGACACTTTTTAACCCTGAAATGAGTCATGCTTTTTCTGTTTAAAGCTTAGAAATATACCTAGTTAATGATGCCAAATTTCTAGAATGGTCTTAATGCCAAATTATATCATGATTTATCACATTCATATACTCAACTTATATTTTAGCCAATTTCATAACCTTTGGAAAAACTTTGAATTTTAAGGGCACAATAAAGCCCAAACCGTATTTTCGTCTTTTATGTGCAAAATATTTGACTAATTTACTTCGTAAATTTAAAACCAGATATAAAATTTAGAAAGCAACAATTGGGCTGTCAGTTGAAATAGGTAGATATAAGTTGATGGTTGTTTTAAGAAAAAGTAATGCCTTTGAGTTGATTATCAGCTTATACTTCCATTTGCCAATCCGGTGGTAATATCTACATAATGAGATCACATCAGGTCATTACAAGGTCAAGACGTGAGTACAAAAAAGAAAACATTCTCTCATATAAATGACATTTTACTCAGTATGTTATACGTGGTAATTATTGAACAAATTGCTCAGCCAATATAACGTATTACATGGGTTAATTATCACATGGTAAGCACAATACATGAATAAGTTAAAAGACATAAAGGTTCTTTTGATGTTATAAAGAATATGTAGATCAAATGGTGCATTAGTCATTGCTCATGACCTACGAGGTGTTAATATGATTAGCAGCTGTCATTTTTGTAATATCCACCAATTACAATTTGATATGCTAAATTACATGTGACTAAGTTTAATGTCATCGATAAATCTGAACTCAAAGATATTAACTTTTATATTGATTGTGCTGTAATTGTGTTTTATATGAAGACTAAAAAACTTATTTCCTTTTAACTATTATAAATATATATGTGTACAATTTTTGTTGGACATATTTATTTGTGTGGTTTTTAACATTCTTTATAACCTGAAATGTTAAAAACAGGACCTTTTTTATTTTGAAAAAAAAATTACCCATATTACAGTCATTGTAATGAAGGAAACGCTAAAGAATATAATCTAATGCGACAATGGTCCACAACTGTCAATACCAAACATAAACCGAAGGCCACTGATGACAGCGTTATCATTAGATGATCATTAAATGTGTTCTTATCATATTGATTATGAAGGATATCTTCGGAGTAAATCCTGTATCTTTTGTATATGGAACGACCTGCCATAGTTATCTTCGTGGAAAAATGAGCAGTCAATGCTTAATGATTCTCACGCGTTTGATAATATTTTTTTTCTCTCCGTTTATGCAAAGTCTTTAGAGTAAATAATAGACCAAATGAAGTTACATTAATTTCCTATTAACACAATTAAGATTTTTTTTTTGCATATTTATTTCAAGTCCAAGGTCCAAGATTTATGGAATCACTGTCTAGTTAGGAGAGTATGCCAGGGACATCAACAATAGTGGGAAACATAGGATAATTTTAGCATAACGGGCTTCAATTATCCCATGTTTTCCACTATTGTTGATGTCCCTGGCATACTCTCCTAACTAGACAGTGATTTCTTATATTTTCATTTCATTGTGAAATAAAATGGTAGATTTAGACTTAAAAAATGTAGACATAGACTTAAATTACACGAGGACTTCCATGCCAATTTCAATAGTCCTCGCCCAATGACGTCAAACACCTAGGCAGCCGCACGAGATTTACATGCACATTTTGCCTCCTTAGCGTCAGACATAGAGACAGATGCGCACGAGATTTGCATGCATTTTAGGCCTGCTTAGCTCCTGACCTATCGACCTGCCTAATTTACATTCCGGCAGAAATATCAAGAAATAAACTCCGACAACTTTCAAAGAGTTATCGCAGAGAAAAAAAATTAGAAATGGAAATATAATTAAGTCAACTAGTGCCTTACGTGCGATATTTAATTGAAGGGTATATATGTCAGAAACAGGCGATGTCTATATAGAAAGAGCTTTAAAGGCATTCGCTGTATTTGGTGTCTACGACAGATATTTGGACAGTTATACCAATCCTTGATATTTTCCCTGTTGCTGAACTTTACGCACTAATCTTTTGTACATTTAACTTAATACCTTTAAAAATATATATACTGTACGCTATATCTTGTATCAGTAAAATGAAGATGGAAATTTATTTTATTTACTTTGATTACCAAATAAAAGTATGAAAGTGCTATGTGTTACATAATTGAAATCCAACGTGTTATAAGGATGTAAAATTACATTTTTTTAAACTAGGAAAGTAATGTTTCACGCGATGCCTTCGCTACTTTTATATTTGATAACAAAATATGGCGTTAAAGAGGAACAGCTGTAGTCTGTTGTGTATTAACTTTGACATGAATGGCAAATGTCTTTATTCTTAATGATATCTTTTTTTCAAGCAGCAATTATATACTTTCTACTTTGAAATGAATATATTAACCTTTTTTCATAACAATACACAAATGAACAAACCTCGTCTTTTATGATTTCCAGCGGACATGCGTATTTGGATGGTTCACGCATTTCCTTCTTCGATATTCATGCAGCAATTCTTTATTGTAAAACTTACTTAACTGCATTGTTGGTACGATTTATAAAGTAAAATTTGGAGGAAAGACTTATATTTAAAAATATATTAAAAGAATAATTGATGTTTTTTTGTGCGTTTCATTGATGGAAGAGCCACTTCTCAAGAAATACACTGGTGACTGACTTAGCCGCGTTTCTGATAATAAACAACCATCTTAAACTTTTTTCATAAGAAATAGAGATGATATTGAGTGGATGTATATATATCGACGTTTCTTCAATGCAGAATTTTGATGAAAACATAAACTGAAATTCTAGAAAATCGAAATCCTCCCTTACAGTACAGTAAACGTGTGTTCCTTTTTATAAAAATAATTTAAACGTGTGTTCCTTTTTATAAAAATAATTAGGCCTATGTGCATTTGACAAAGATTAACCAATTTGTTTCTAGAATATCAAATTTTGTCTATTTCATGATGTTTGATGGGACTGTCTGATTTTTTTTTAAAAGGAATCTATTCAGTAATAAAAAGACCGTGTGCACAGCTATTTTCTTTGTAAACACATGCATACTGCAATTTTCTCCAAGTAAACTGGTTATTAGCACGCTAAATACATCAATTTATTTTAATAAAGCTTTAGTCAATAATTCCAAGTTTGATGGACATTCCTACCTAATAAACAACGCATTCAAGATAAGGAAGTAAATCTACCCGTCACACCCACCTGTGGTAGACTGGCGATGACGCTTAGTAACCAAGCCATAGTAAGCATAATCTTGCCTCTCCTGTCGGCGTCGTGTATGCTCATGGGATGGACGATGGAAAAATAACGGTCTAAACTTATAGTCACCAGCACAAACGACGAAAGATAAAATCCAAGAGCGCGAAAAAACATCAAAATCCGACACGCCGCATCCCCAGCTTTCCAAGACACAGTAATGTGCCACGCAGTTTCCAAAGGTAGCATTACAAAAGCCACAATTAAATCGGCTATGGACAAATGCATAATAAATGTATTCACTCTAGATTTGTATCTCCGACTTTTTAACAGAGTCACCAGCACGATTAAATTTCCAGTAGCAGCGAATATAAAGAGACACGAATATGCTATCACAGACATGACATTATCATCGTTGAATGTCATTTCCCGCGGTAAACCTCTGAAGGACATGTTTCCGAACCCATAAACAGTCGTTGTGTTCATTGTTGTAAATGTCTCCTTGCTGTCCTCTATCTGATAAAAAGGGTAGGTGAAATTCATGTTATATCCGTACTAACTAAAAATTAAAACAGTTTTTTTTAAAGAAATCACATCTTCGTCATTCTGTAACATGGCATTTTCATTATTTCCAATTAATACAATGATCGAAGTGAAACAATTGTAAAGTTTTTTAAAAAACGTACTTTAAATGAAAGAAATACAGGAGATCTCTCAGCAAGAAAACATGTATGAAAGCTTTCCCTCGTTCTTCCTATACATCCTGCCAGTAAATTGCTGTAGAACTCTCCTGTGCGCAAAACATTATACAAGATATCGTATTAAGCACTCCAAGATATTAGTCTGTAAGAATGAACTAAACTTAAAAGTACAGTATAAATTTAAGGAGACTGCACATTTGTATTCCAGCTGCGTTAATACCAAAGGTATCCCCAACTAGTTTTCCTATATCGATATCAGGCAAGCATTGATCTGGTATGACTTGATAGGCTGTTTGGCGCATGTTACCGCCTAGCTGTTGTTAACATTTATAATGTACGATCGGCTTCTACCGCTTCATTTATTTCCAAGGAAATATTCTTCCTTGCATGTTATTGTTGTTTTAGAAAATCTGCTATTTTGTAACTTTGTTGATTCAGCAGATTTCAGTGACATTGGACTCATTCCGATTGTTAAAGTCTTGAGCAATGTATTCTGAAGCTTTGAAGACTGAAAAATTAAGCGTTTCTCAAAGGTCTATATTTGAAACAAGAGTTCATTATAGTTGTCTAACTAGCTTCTTTTCTATTTTTATAACGTAGAACTATGCCTTGTTTAAAATTTTCTTCTGCAGTGCGAGTAAAAGAAATTGAATGGAAATAAATCGGACCTTGTTTATTAACCTGCGATTTCGTACACCTTTTTTTGTTAAATGCATCTTCAAAAAAAAATTGAAAAGGTTTTCCGTCTATATAATACAGTGTTTAAGATACTTGGGTGTTACACGAAATCCTCTTTCAGAGGGTGATTAAAAACTAATTAGACCCTTAAGAACGTTGTACCCCCACCACACTTCCACTGGATAATCATTCAATCGGATAGCATAAGTACACACTGTAGATGTATCAGGAAAAAGGTATTTTAAAAACTGGGTTATTTTTACTCAATGTGTCTTGGCGAGTGTAGTGTCCCTAACATGCTTTACATATATTTGATGTATAATTATATTTTTTTATATATTTTTAAAGCGAACAAAAGCACAATCTGCACAACCTGACACATGTACTTGCAAATCAATTTTATTTCATTACATCGATTGGCATGTCCTTTTTACATTTGTAGCAAATATTTTTTTTTTATTAAATGTTTCTTTTTTTTAATTTGAGAAAAAGATCAAAATCTTGACAATTAGTTTTCTGATCTTCAATGATCGCCTGCAAATGGAATTTAGGTCTCTCAGTTGATTCAATACAAGAAATGGTCTATATGTACGAACAATTTCTAAAACGAGGCAAACTATTGACAAACTAGTTTTGATGAGACAAAAATATCAAAAATCGCGTTTAAAATCATCGTTTCGCAAGTTCTACGGTCGATACAATGTCTTTGTCAGCTAAATCAATCCGGCTGTCATTTAGTCATCTGAAGTCGGCTGACTTTTTTATTAAGGTCTTCCGTTTCCAACGGAAGACCTTCTACTGATTCTGATGATTAAGATTATTCTTATTAAGGTCTTCCGACTTCCTTCGGAAGACCTTACTGTTTTTCTTATGTTTCCTGTTATTATTATTATTCCCTTTTCATAGTACACGTGATTTCTCGGAAACTACTTGACCGATTTCAAAGATTTTTTCAGGAATGATGCATTGTTATAATACCTCCAGACCATTTTTTTATTTTTTGAAAAATCACTTCCGGTCACATTTTTTGTCCAATTTTCTTTTTTTAAATTGCCATTTTGTCCAAGCAACTCCTTCTTAACCACTCAAGATTTAATCACGATATTTTCGGGGATGATAAAACATCTCTTTCAGTTATGCATGGCATCTTTTGATTTTGCATTCATCACTTCCGGTCGACACAGGAAGTGATTAATTTTCAAGATTTTTTGAAAAATTTACCCGTTTTGAATAATGGCAAGTAAAACTTATGATCACATTAACAATCGTCAACAAAACGAATCCATTTGAATAACTTCCGGTGAAAACCGGAAGTAGTCGAAAAATTAAATTTTCTCACCTGCGTCAAAAGAAATAGAATAAATGGTTTAAAGGGAGTTTTTTTCAAAGTTTTTTGGTACTTGTGACTTTGACCTCAGCCGGAAATGATGCCTAAATTGCTTAAATTCGGCAAATGATGTCACTTCCGGTCAAGCCGGAAGTAGCCAAAATAGCTTATTTTGAAGGTTTTGACGCAAAATTGAAAACTTTTAAATTTTAGAGACACTGAAGGCATCTTAACTCATTCCTTTCTCTTGTTGACGTCACTTCCGGTCAAAACTGGACGGAAGACCTACTCGTTGCTTTGCAACGAGCTTTGCTCTAGTTATTCTTCTTTTTTTTTTCTTCCTAGACGCCAACTTTGGGGCCTCATATCTCATTTATTTTTCAATGGATTTTGCTCAAATTTTCAGACATTATAGACAGTAATAAACTCTATCATAATGCTGTCTAACATTTCAAAAATTTACTTCCGCTTATGAGTTATTTCCCTTTAAACGAAAAATTATAGGCTTTCATTTCCAGATAAAGGCTCAGAGATCACTAGAGTTGGAGCAGAAATTTTACTGGTTTTAGATAACAGAAGGGTTGAAGTTGTGCACATCGGTTTTTGTTTTTCAATTTCTGTATTCAAAATGGCGCTATATAGGGGTCAAAAATTAGAACGCCTAATACAGCGAAAATTAACACGTATTTTCTTTTTTATCTTGAAAACTAAAAATATTTTGTTAAGACATGTTGAATAAAAGTTGTGCATAATTGCAAGAGCTTTCATTTAATATCATTTAAAAGGGGCTGGCCCCTAAAATAAGGGATCTAGGGCGTTTGAAAGTTTTTGCTTTATAACTCAAAAACGGTAAATATTTCGAAATGACTTTCGATTAACAGTTGTGCTTTAACATCTTATTGATCTCATGAAATTGTTATTTTGTTCGAGTCTTGTTTTAAATGAGCTAGATGCATGGCCCATATACGTACAGGTAATTCTTTTCACTCAGCACATAAACGCGAGCTCCTCATGCGTGTAACCATAACAAACTTACTATAAATAATAAACATGGCTACATTGGATGCTAATATTTTTTTAGAATAAGGTTCTTGAAGTGCTTTGTGTATTTTCCCCAAATTGTCATGATTATTCACTGACAACTTTCCCTTTTATTTCATTTTTTTTTTAAATCGTATTAACCAAGTCTACTAAAAAGGGAAGAAAAGATAATCGTTTCTATCTATCATATAAAAACAAACAATGTAGTGAGAAAATAAAACATAACTAGATATGATCTCGTTGCGAGCAACGAGTGGGTCTTCCGTCCGATTCTTGATAAGATGAGATAAGATTTTGATTGAGATTTTCATTCTAAAATAATGATAAAGATTGTGAAGAAAAACAATTTTGCTCCATAGTCTGTAAACAAACATTGAACATTAAGACTTAAAAATTTGACTTTTGGCCCCTCACGGCCCCTAATATTAGGGATCAGCCCTTTTTTCTTCATATCATCTTAAAGCTCTCAGGATTTTGAAGATTTTTTGTTCAACAACTATTCAGAGATTCTCTTTCGTTTTCGAGTTACTTGCAAAAGAAATATTTAGGGGCCAAGCCTTCAACTCCTGAAAGGGGACGTATAGCGAAAATTTAAAGGTTGCATATTGTTCAGAACATTATTTTGAACATGTTTTGTTCAATATTACTTATCAAAATATTTTCCACTTTTGAGATATAAAGCATCAAAGATTTAGCATTCTGGCCCCTTATGGCCCCTTATTATGCACCATACGACATTCAAATCATAACATATAGTTGTACACTGTTGAGATAAACATTTTTGATTCAGTTATGTATAACAAAATATTGCTTGCTAAAGAGGTATCGATGAAAGACTTTTGGCCCCTCTCGGCCCTTTATTTGAGTGCCCAGCCCCTTTTTCTTGATCTCGTCTTAAAGCTCTCAGGATTTTGAACATTTCTTGTTCAACAACTATTCAGAGATTCTCTTTTGTTTTCGAGTTATTTTCAAAAGAAATATTTAGGGGCCAACCCTTCAACTCCTTAAAGGGGACGTATAGCGAAAAATTAAAGGTTGCATATTGTTCAGAACATTATTTTGAACATCTTTTGTTCAATATTACTTATCAAAATATTTCCCTCTTTTGAGATATAAAGCATCAAAGATTTAGCATTCTGGCCCCTTATGGCCCCTTATTATGCACCATACGACATTTAAATCAAAATATATAGTTGTAGATTGTTGAGATAAACATTTTTGATTCAGTAATGTATAACAAAATACTGACTGCTAAAGAGTTATCGAAAAAAGACTTTTGGCCCCTCTCGGCCCCTAATTTGAGTGCCCAGCCCCTTTTTCTTGATTTTATTTTAAAGCTCTCAGTATTTTGAACACTTTTTGTTCAACAACTATTCAGAGATTCTCTTTTGTTTTCAAGTTATTCGCAAAAGAAATATTTGAGGGCCAACCCTTCAACTCCTTAATGGGGACGTTTAGCGAAAAATGAAAGGTTGCATATTGTTAAGAACATTATTTCCAACATCTTTTGTTCAATATTACTTGTCAGAATATTTCCCACTTTTCAGATATTTAGCGTCAAAGATTTTGCATTCTGGCCCCTTGTGGCCCCTAATTATGTACTATATGACATAAAAATTATAATATTTAGTTGTAGATTGTTAAGTTAAACATATTTGCTTCAGTAATGTATAACAAAATATTAGCTGTTTAAGAGTTATCGATTAAAGACTTTTGACCCCTTTTTGTCCCTAATGTGATGAGTCAGCAATTTTTTCTTGGTATAATACTAAAGATCTTCTCATTCTGCACAAATGTTGTTCAGTATGTTTTCATAAATTAGTTATACTTTAAAAGATATGATTCAAAATGTCTCGAAAAAACACTCTTGATTCGTGTCCTGAATTTTGACCCCTACCGAGCTTCCATACTAGGCACTTCCGGAAGATTTGAAAATATAGGTACAAAACTACAACATGTCGACTATATTTGCTGAAAATTTCATTACTCTAACTTTTGTCGTTTTCGAGTTTTTGTCCGGACAAAATGGTCACTAAAAAGTCAATTAAAGGGCGATAATTCATGACCGGAAGTGAATTTCGAAAAATTAAAGAAAAGATATTAACTTCAGATCATGATACATCATCCATGAAAATTTCATATAAATCCGTCCAAGCATCTCTGAGAAATCGTCTGCACAAAATATCGACAGAAAAAAATAATAATAATAAAAGTGAAAAAGAATCAATAGAATAATAGAAGGG